TATGCCCTTATGCCCTGAATATTCTATTGGGATGTTGTCACTATGGTGGAAAAATAAATAATATTTTGTTATTGCATAATTGTTTTTGAGTAAACAAAACTAAAATTCATTATTAAGCTATAAAGCCTTTGCGCTTTATTCAAAAATATGAAGCAAAAATTATTTCTTAACACGCTTTTTTATATAAAATATATAAATAACAATAAAATTAGCATTTTACAATAACAAAAAATGTATATATTTTATATACCTATATACATATCTAACAGTCTTACTTATATAACTACCCGCAATGGCCAAAAACTAAGCTTGCGATTCCGTTATTGACCATTCCATTGGAATCTGACGTTTATGTAAGTATGTATTTGCAAATGCTTATGTATGCGCTACATTTTACTTGTATATCTTATATAATACATTACACCCATGCATACATGTAGTTTATTTATAAATACTTAGGCATATGCGATAAATTTAACTGATAAGCTTTGCTTACATACATACATACATATATTTACTATATGGTAAATGCTAGTAACATGTATGCTTTTTCAAAGTCTACACTATATATACAGAATCAGAATATGTTATTAACTTGGTACATATGTATATTTATGTAAAACAAATCTGMATGAAACTAAGGGGCTTATGATTATAAATTTGCTTAACATTTTCAAATACTGAGCAAATTAATTATTGCCACGCACTGTGACCACGCGGCGTGAGTGAGTTGAATAAAAACAAAAATCATCAGAGAGCAGAACTCATTGAACGACATTAATGAACATTAGAAACGGTTTAGTCAGACTTTTTATGGGAATATATTAAATTTTGATTTTACTAAAATATTAGTTATTTAGAGTGGAAATATACTCTTCTCCTCGGCGCATATATATTRATATAGTATTTGAAGTGTGCGCTCAAATCTTGTTTTCGTCAAATTTTGTGCTAAGAACGATCACGCGTTTGACTTAATTAAAAAAAAGAATTACAATATGGTAAAGACTTTAATTTAATAATTGCATTTGAGTCAAGTTTTAAAGGCAAATTGTTGAATGGCTCATCGACTAGTTGCGCAAAGGCGATAAGTGAATTCGTGAGAAGACATGATGAGATAAAATTATTGTTCAATAGAAGAATAATTGGTAAATAAATGTGTAGATGCCCGTTACATCCAGAGTTGATTCTAATTTGGGCTTACAAGTCGCAGAAACAGTGAATTATTTTGTAAGATTTGTGCKCTTTCGTTTTCTAATCTTTGTTTTTTTTCTGTTGAAATGACGATTTCATCAATCTTAATACCTTTCTCTCTTACTYCATTACTATAATTTCCAAAAGCTCCTGAAAATTTAAACAAATTTCTCTAAGTTTCAATTATCATAACATTCACAACCTTGATCAAATCGGTACCGCTCATTATTCCAATATCCCACCTTTCAGATGTTCGATACTCAGCCTCAGATATGTTCTACCARTGTAATTGAAATTTTTCAAAAATCACTGTCAATGGCTTCCTACAGAAAACATAAAGCAACAGTTTACTGGTGGACTGAAAATGTCGCAACAAAAGTTTTTAAGATCAATGACAATAATCGTTCTATTATACTGAACTGAGATCCGGGCAGATGCTTTTAAAAAGAAAAACGATAGTCCTCAGAGTTGCATCAGCCTACCGAATAGTGTCAGGCTATGCAATTTTAGTGATAAGCGGTAATATGCCAATTGAACCTCTGGCACAGGAAAGGGAAAAGCTGTGGATGCTAAAGAAAACATCCGAAAACAACAAAAGCGCAATTGATCGAAGGCAAGAAAAAAAAAAAACAATACGCACATGAAAATAAAGATGGGAGAATAATAATGGCAGCAGATGGACGGACAGACTAATAAAAAATTCGAAGAAATCGACTTTTACACAAATCAGCTGTTATCCGGTCACGTAYACTTTAAMAARTATCTCCAMAGAATGGRAAAAGTCGTAGAACCGTCAAGCSTACACAACGACGAGAMAGAAGACGACTCTGAACACACTTTCTATGAGTGTGTGCGATGACAACGAGAACGAAGAGAATATTTGGTTAGGCCAATAAATTTAATCAGCGCCATTCGCCAGTGAAGCAAACTGGAGGATTGTCCAGAAATTCACAGCAATTCTGTTATGCAGCAAAAAGCAGAACGCAGAGTGGACGTAGTTTCCTTAGAGGGTGTTTCTAGTGATCTGCAAGTGGCGCAAAAGTTGCTGTGACGGCAGCACTGATGATGCAGAAGGCATTTTCCACCCCTCACCCGCAAAAAAAAATATCTTTCCACCGCTTTGAAAAATTACTTTATCAATCTCCAATGCTTCATGTTTTAAATCCTTGAGTTTATTTTCAAAAAATAGCTTTGACRTAGAGGTCATGCTTCCATTCGCTTTCATTTGTAGAATATACAGTTTTTTTAGAACTTGGCAACAGAATTTTTCCGTGGCTAGCAATAACTTTCGAAACGCAAAGAGAGAGTTTCAATAACTAAAAGGCGCTATAATTCTAGATATCGTTACGTTTGATTYTTATTAAAACCTTCCACATAATTTGTCGCATATTTTCGACAAGGTGAAACAAAGTGAGAATTACGTGATGTTTGCATGAAAAATATAAATCACATTACTGCAGCCAGCCGAGGAGTAAATATGCTACTTTGCTCTTCGCTTTTCTCGCAACCAAGGTATGTAGTGTTAATAAAAGATCAAGTTATTGCAATTACAAATCGCATGACTCTTTACATATTAGCTCAATATGAATTTCTCTGTACTCTCCTCAAAACGCACAAAGCGCGGTCACAAGAAAACAAGATATCATTTTAACATATTAATTAAATTATATCATAGCCAACTCTTGAACTTGTTTTCAAATTTCTAAATTAATAGCAATTCTTTAATATGTCATATATTACAATTAGTTTATATCTAAGTTTTGCATATTTTCATTCGTTATATTTTGTTAATTACTTAAATGGCCAYAAGACCATAAATTTTATGATTGATTTCTTAATAATAAGAATATTAACGCAAATCTACACAAATAGAAAATGCTTGGTGATTTGTGTAAGGCGCCAGCTGAAAAGTTCAAAAGACAAATGGAAAATTCGTAAAMATTTAATAACAATAATATAACTATAATTAGTTTTAATGAAAACACAAAAATAATTATAGGCATTATCAAATTGTGTTTATGAAATATTTGTAATAAATTTTTATTAGTATTCAAAACTTCAGTGAGAATATAAATTAAATATTTCATATACTTAATATATTATATACAAATATATATGTAAGAATGAATTGATATTTAGTTTTATTTATAAAAAAAATATTTGTAATCTTTTGAAAGCAAAAATATTTTACTTAAGCACTTTTACTCGGTAGCTACTCACCCGCTGAGCCATCCAACTGCTTCGGTGGCTGCTCCGTATAGTACATGCTTTTGCCAATAGCCAGCGTACCCTTTCGATCGACGGCATTTACACCGGAGCCGCCCAGCGCCGACAGACTATTTCCATTGCCTCCCGAAATAGATGCGGTGGCGGAGTGTGAGGAGGAAGCCGATGATGTGCCACTACCCAGCAAATCCGCTTTCATCAGGGATATGTCCTTTTGTATGGCATTTAATGAGTCATTGCGTGTGGGTATGATGTTGTCTGAAAGCATTGATAACRTAATAAATGTAACAAAAAATATATTGTTATGTACGACTTTTGACTAAAATAAAATATAATTTTTATCCGGTAGGCATGTTCATATTTTTCTTGTAAAAAATATGATAATACAGTTATACTCACTTTCCCTTGTTTCAATYGTGGTATGTGTGACTTGCTTTGAGGGCGTCGATGGCAGTGGAATTTCTGTAACAATAAACAGAAAGTGTGCCTTAATAGTATTCGACGATTTGTATTTTTATTTTTAACAGCAGTAGAATTTAGTTAATTAAAAACTTAACTGTAACGGTAAGTCAAAGTCATATATAGTATCTAACGTTCGGCCAGATGGCACTGTGATAGAGAACAATGTAAATTTTAAAAACAAAACACAACGTTAACTTCGGATAATAGCTGTAACAGCCTTCAGCGCTATACTTCTTATAGCACAAAATGGTATAGAAATCCCTCTGAAGTGGCAGCTCTCGTTTAGTTCGTATGGCAGCTATATGCTATAAAGATCTTACGGTATTTTCGCTAGTTGGCGCTGAGAGCGCATAGTTCTAGTTTTATTCGTCGCATCGGGCCATGCTATACCGTTTTGGAAAGCTCATTTCACGCGCTAACACGTGTTGATTGATTTTCGTTTCTTTTAAGTCGTTCGTGAGTTATAGCGTCGCAAACACGGAGCAAAATAAAGAGAAAATACGGCATATTTTACAGTACTACTACGATTGAGGCAAAATGCATCTCAAGCCGCCAATAAAATGTTTGCAATTTATGGACCCGATACAGTTTCCATAAGTGTAGAGGTGGTCGAAGATGCGCCACGCTCCGGAAGGCCTGTCGYCGAAAATTGCGATAAAATCGCTAAATTGGTCGAAAGAGACCATAGCATCGGTCAAAAGAGGGCATGAGTCATCAAAAATTAACTCATTGAAAATTGAAAATTCAATAAAAAATACCGCAAGACTTTTTTGACAAACTAATATATAGACCCCACTGAATAAAACTACTTGCTCGTTCTAATTTTTCACAACTTTTGTATACCAGTCTTTTAACGCTCGTAGATCACTGAGTGTGGTTTTCCAACCGCAAATTACCTTAGCGTCACGTGCCCAAACCTATAGTTTGACGCATTTCCGGAGTAACCTCTACTATCTACTTAAGCGAGTTTCCGCTTTGAGAGCTATAAATCTCCTTTTTATACTCTCACAACAAAGTTGCTAAAGAGAGTATTATGGTTTTGTTTACATAACGGTTGTTTGTAAGTCCTAAAACTAAAAGAGTCAGATATAGGGTTATATATACCAAAGTGATCAGGGTGACGAGTAGAGTTGAAATCCGGATGTCTGTCTGTCCGTCCGTCCGTCTGTCCGTCCGTCCGTGCAAGCTGTAACTTGAGTAAAAATTGAGATATCATAATGAAACTTAGTACACATATTTCTTGGCTCCATAAGAAAGTTAAGTTCGAAGATGGGCAAAATCGGCCCACTGCCACGCCCACAAAATGGCGGAAACCGAAACCTATAAAGTGTCATAACTAAACCATAAATAAAGATATTAAAATGAAATTTGGTAAAAAAGGATCGCATTGGTGAGTGTCATATTTGAACGTAATTCTTTTGGAAAAGTAGGCGTGGCCCCGCCCCCTACTAAGTTTTTTGTACATATCTCGGAAACTACTATAGCTATGTAAAACAAACTRTATRGAGTCGTTTCTTTTAGGCATTTCCATATACAGTTCAAAAATGCAAGAAATCGGATAATAACCACGCCCACCTCTCATACAAAGTTGAAAATCACGAAAAGTGTGTTAACCGACTAACAAAAAACGTCAGAAACACTAAATTTTACGGAAGAAATATCAGAAAGAAGCTGCACCTAGATTTTCTTTAAAAATTGAAGATGGGCGTGGAGTCGCCCACTTATGGACCAAAAATCATATCTCAGGAAGTACTCCACCGATTTCAATGAAATTCGGTACATAATAGTTCCTTAAGACCCTGATGATATGTGCGAAATATGGGTGAAATCGGTTCACAACCACGGCTTCTTCCAATATAACGCTATTTTGAATTCCATCTGATGCCTTCTATGTATAATATATACATTAGGAACCAATGATGATAGCGGAATAAAACTTTACACAAATACGGTATTTGATGCGAGAGTATAAAATGTTCGGTGACACCCGAACTTAGCTCTTCCTTACTTGTTTATACTTCACATTAATATCAAGCTCTCGGAATTCCACCACGTTCTGGCACCATATCAAGAGGTTTCCAATCAGTATAATTTGTCTGCAATATAAATGTTCTACTATCTCAGACAGAAAATTGTATTGCTACCAACACAAGCACAACACAATTGCTCTCTTATAAAGCTTGCAACAATTGCTGTGTCTTTCCATATGATACCGAGCACTTTCAACTGCTACTTCTCATTTCGCATGTAAATAAATGTGCATTCGTTTCATTTCATTTTACTTACCGTAAACACGTATGGATCCTTCCGTTTCGCCAAGCGAGTTCTTAGATATGCATCGATAGTTGCCAAAGTCACCATATTGTAAATTTCTTATTGTCAGCTTCATGTGAGCGCTGTATTGCAGTTATTGTTATGGTTGTCCCGTATTTGTTGCATATTGCAGGAATGAATGTAAGCGTAAGGGAAAATAGAATAAAGCAATAATAATAAATAGTTTAGGGTTGCGGCGGAGACGGGTTATGGTAAAGAACATTGTTTACAAATGAAAATAAAAATTTCTCTTAAGCAAACGATTGTTTAAAAAATTTAAATGAACAATAAAAAAAAAACAATTGTATAAAATATTCATTGCAAGTAARATAAATCCAAAGTAAAATAACTAAATTACCAATATGCTATAATTTAAAATTTTTTTACGAAACATTAATTCTTCAAATATAT